CCTTGGCCAATTTTTGGTATAAATCCGCCCCCTCCCTGCCGCCAGTCGTCTATGGCCCCGCCCCCATCCTCTCCGGTATTGCGGCCTCCTTCCTCCCGGAGACGCTCAACCAGCCACTGCCAGACACTGTTGAGGAGGTGGAGAGCAGGTGGGTCTGGCGGGAGGCCTCCCCTCTCTTCCTGTCTGACTCCGACCCTGGGACCAAGACAGGGCTTGGGTTCCAAAGGCCAAAACACTCAGCTGGTGCTTGGGATCAGTTCTGCCCCCACCCAGCTAGCAAGGCAAATTGGGCTGAGACAGTATGATTGGTACGACTGTAGCACCCAGCCACTCCAGTCATGGCCCTGGACCTGTTGTGTTAGGTGCTGTACAGAGAGTAGCCTCTGTCCATTGACTGATTCCAGTGAGGGGAGACTGGGCATGTGTGTCGAAAGACAGATTCCCCTCCAGGCCTCCATTGTTCCCGGTGCTGCACAGACCCCATCCAAGATGGGGACCCCTGTGTGCTAGGTGCTGCATAGACACACAGCGAGACAGATTCGTCCTGAAGATCTGACAGTCTAGCTCAGGCTACGTCTACAGTTCTGTAGTGATAGCGCAGCAGCTTTAGCACCTATTGTAATCATGGCACTGGTGCTGAGAGCTCTCGCAGCGCTGTAAGTAAAACACCTCCACGAGGGAAGCAGGTAACAGCGCTGGGAGCCTGTTTACCCTGGTGCTTTTCAGCGCTGTAACTTGCCATGTTTGGGGGAGGTGTGTTCTTACACACACCTGAGTGAGAAAGTTACAGCGCAGTCAAGTGGCAGTGTAGGCAAGTCCTCAAAAGTCCTCAAACACTGTGCGATATGCCTCCCTAGGGGTCAGCCCGTGGAGGGCAGGGAGGAAGTGCTACCCAGTTCCACTCTACTCCCAGCTCTGGTCCAGCCCCCAGCCTCAGCCCCTGTCCGCAGCTTCATTTCTGGTCCTGGACCCACTCCTAGCCTTGGCCCTCTTACCTCTGTCGGTGTCCCACACCATAACTGGAAACTGTGGTCCTGGTCCCAGTCCCAACTGGGAAGGAGGGTGTGGACAGGGCAAGAGGGGGAGTGATCCTGAAAAGTTTAGGCGCTACCGGTCTAAATGGACAATGAGGTGGGGGAACAGAGGCAGGACAGGAGTTGCCCAATATCACAGTGAGAACAGGAGTCAGTCTCCTGTCCAGAGCAGTAACCACTAGATCCTGGGGCTCTTCAGGGCATAACGTCCTTGTATTGTTCTTCTAGTGAAGTTCAGCCCAGGGGAATAATTCCTGAGCCATAGGCATGCGCACGGGGTGTGCCAGGTGTGCCCAGGCACACCCTAATGTTTCAAAGGGGGTGCGAACGAAGGAGCGCCGCTTTGGCGCTCTGGGGAACGGATGCTGCGGTGGGTTTGCCGCGCATGCCCGGCCAAAACTGGCGGGGCTTAGGACCCCACAGAAAGAGGCGGGAGGGGCGCAGGGGCGGGCCCCCCCGC